GACCAAACGGCATGACCGTGTAACAGTATAACCCCTGATCAGTGACGAAGGCCGTCTTCTCCTGATCTTTCTTCCATAGTGGAATTTGATGGAAACCAAAATAGGCGTCCATAAAACTCATCAAGGCATGGCCGGCTGTTGAGTCGACCAGGTTATCAATTTTAGGCAGAGGGTAACTGTCTTTGGGGCACGCCTTGTTTAAGTCTGTGTAGTCTACACACATTCGCCAGGTGCCATTCGGCTTTTTAACAAGCACCACATTTGCAACCCAGTCTGGGAAGTAACATTGCCGAATGAACCCTGCATCAAGTAATTTTTTAACTTTGGCGGCTGCCGCCTGACTTCTTTCTTCGCCATGGTTCCGCTTCTTTTGCCGTACCGGCTTCTTTTTCGGATCCACAGCCAGTTTATGTACCGCCAGATCAGGACTAATGCCTGGCATTTCATGGACTTCGAATGCAAAGATGTCCTTGTATTCTTTCAATAGTTTGTGAAAGTTGTCACCAAGGTTTCTCAGAGCAGTCGTCCCAACTTTGACTGTTCGGTCAGGACGTGAGTCGTCTAATATCAGGTCCGCATGCTCACCAGCCGGCTGAGGGCGGAACTCATCCGGCCGCTCCTCTGCCAATGATTGCTATTTTCTCTCTTTTCTTGCGGCCCCTGTCTGGGATGCCTTTCTCTTTTTGCAACCTGCTTCTTGAACAGGCGCACTCTCCTTGTCAAGGTCTGTTTTTTCACCGCTTGACCCAGTAGCCATAACAGTGGGCTTGACATCCGAGAGATAGCACTCTCGGGCCATCCTCTGATCTCCCCTTAGGGAGCCGACTGTTCCATTATCCCTCTCAAACTTGAGCAACATAAGAGATAGGATTATAACAGCCTTGGAATTATTCAGGGTAGGTCGACCCAGAATCATGTTGTAGGCAGAGAGTTCCTCTACTACCAGGAACCGGACTACCATGTGTCGTCCTTCCCCTTTTTCACCCAGGCGGATGAGTAAATCTACTCGTCCCAGTGGTTGGACTCCTCCTCCTCCAAACCCTACTAAAGGGTGGGAGGCCGGATGTATGCAATCAGTCTGATATTTTAGTTTCGACAGACATTTGCTACTGATGAGATCTAAGAAGCTTCTGGTATCTATGAGGATTCGGCCAACTCTCTGGTTGGCCACCTTACATTCAATAACGAGAGGGTCGTCATGCGGCCCCCTTACCCCTCCTAGATCTTCTTCAGTGATGACAATCTCAGGAAATGAATATTTGGACGGCCGCTCTTGGTGAACGGAATTTACATCTAACCGCCTGATATTGTCTTTGTTGTCCCTAATAGTGGGGCCGCCTCCTGAGAAGCCGCCTGCAATAGTGTAGACGACTGCATCATCTGTATCGGAGTTGTCGGCCTGTTGATTCTTTTTGGCCGACTGCTTTTTTGAGGAAGTGTTCCCCGCGGATTTCTTGACATAAGTGTTAAGATCACCTTGATCAGCCAGGCGGTCTAGGTACCGCATGAGACTGATGCAGTCATTGGTGTGATGACCAACATCATCATGATAAGCACAGAATTTATCTTGGTTCCGGTTGTTTGCAGAACCCTTCATGGGGACCGGCTTCTTAATTGAGATCCGTCCCTTGATTTCTTTTAGGATAAACTGGTTATCCTTGTTAAACGCATACTTAAGGGTTTATGGTTTGAATTCTTTTAGAGGAATCAGCCGCCCAGACCTCTTTTCTTTTCTCATCTTTGTTTGACGACTGTTTCTGTCGTCCTTCTCTTTTGTCGAACCTTTTCCCGTCCGACTGTTTTATCGTACAAAGATCAGTCGCCTGTATATAGGCTTCTGCTTCAATCAAGGCCTCTTGAAGAGTCGCCACCCTTTTTTGAACCAAATCAAATTTGAAGGTAGATCCGTCTTTGAGACCTCTAAAAAAGTCAGTATAAGCTACCTCATCCGGTAACCCTTGAATCTGTATTCTCATCAGGTTAAACCGCTTGATGTAAGAACGAAGCCCCTCCTTCTCGCCCTGCTGAATTGCTCCCAAATCAAGGGTCGTTTTCTTCGCAGGGATGTTCATGGCGAAGTTGGAGGCAAATAAGTAAGCAAGCGTCCTGAAGCTATTTACACAACCAGTCGGCAGGTTGCCGAACCATTGATGTGCGATTCCTTTGAGAGTCGCTGGGAAACACTTGCACCAAGTGGGATCATCCAACCCTTGAAGGTACATCAGGTTGGTGAATGCCATCAGATGGTCTTCTAGGTTAGTAGTGCCGTCATAGGCGCCTACTAGTACATTTTTCACTTTGGCCGGCTGAGCGGCTTCAGTAATTTCCTTGGAGAAGGCCGACGGCTGTTCACCAAGTCTAAGCAACCGTAGCTGCCAGTCCATAGGTTGGACGTTTTTTGCTGCAGGTCCACCAAACGGAGGTGGCTGCAAAAAATACTGTTGTTGCGGCACAAATGGTAAGTTTGGTACCGCCTGGTCACTATGAAAGCCGGACTGACGGGAGGTGCCGCCTGACTGACTCTCATGGTACGACTGAGTATGCCTCATCGAGGCATTTCGCAAACTGTCTTGAAAGTTTGAAGTAGAGGCCGACTCTGACAATCGGTCACTCTTCTTCTGCTCTAGCAGTAGCCGAGCATCTGTGAATGTTTGCTTCGACCCGTCCGCCTAAATATGACGAACAGGTTTCCTATTTCCTGTAGGATAACGGAATTTTGTGAAATCAAGGGCAGGTGGCTCCCGCTTCCTAGATTTAGGATGAGGAGTCGCCTCTCGCCCTTGAACTGGCTTCCTCTTCAGTGAAGTGGAGGGTTTCTTGGCCGACTGCTCCTTGACTGGAGCAGGCGACTTCTTGTTGATCAACTCTTGAATCTCTCCCTTGAAGTCCCTCATGAAGGTCATGAGTTCGTTCCTTGTGATGGGAGCAGACCCATCAGTCGGCTGTTGCCGAACAGGCGGTGCGCCTGCTGGCTCGCTTCCTGTTTGAAGATGCTCCCGTTCCCTCCTGTCGGTATGACGGGTACGTCGGGCCCTTAGGGTCCCGTCTGAAGCTGTATGAGCTTCAACTTCAAATTCACTTTCGGTATCATGGTCCGACTGAACTTGAGGGTCGTCTAGGGGACGCCTCTCTTCAGGAGTCGGTACAGACTTGGATGCCATCTCAGAATTACTCTCCCCACAGACGGCGCCAGATGTTTCGGGGTTTTCTGATGTCCTGCGGGAGAGTTACAATTCCGAGACTGGAACCGGACGCCTGTACCTGCAAAATAACGGAGACTCCTGGGAGCTCCGCCTACAACGGTCAAGTTAGTACCTGATTAAGGAGTAATTAATGCGGAAATTAAAGTGATTTGGTCTCTCTAGGTGAGAGTGTTTAATGTAGGTAACCTGCTTTGTTAGCGAGATCAGCCGGTTGTTACTGTGTGTAATTAATGTGTTTTTTCCGTAATGTTTCTGTCCTCCCCCTTAATGAGGATTAAGGGAGGTATTTATAACCTTGGAAAACGTGCCCATTCTAGGTTTAGGTAAACCTAGGGCCGATTGGGCTTCCCTCGGAAGTTGGGCCTGGGTGACAGGTTTCTCCATTAGGCATGGAGTATGCCACATGTCTTGACATAACAGGTCCAAGGTGGACGAATAAGCGCGTGCCACGTAGGAAGGCCTGACTGTTCCAACTGGGGGCCACGTGGAAGGACCTGATTGGTCCACGTGGCGCATTCCGATTGGAGGGAGCAAAATCCCCTAATCAACTATGGCATCAAAGGTTAAAACAAAATTAATGGTGTGGAATTGTAGAGATATGGCAAGAAATACCTTCTTACCGTATCTAAAACACATTGTGGAGTTACATATGCCAGATATGTTGTTGTTGAAAGAAACAAGAGTGTCTGTAAAGATGGCTTGTGTTATATGTCAAAAAACAAAATGCTTTGCAATGTATAGGAGTTCTAGTAAAGAAGCTAACGGCGGAGTTACGTTGTTAGTCTTTACTAATGAAAAAAAATTTAGTTCAGCAGATGACATAGGTGATAATCCCAGCTTGAATGTGGCAATAGTTTATAAGTCAAATGTTCGGACTTGAGCATTAATTATATCATTATCACAAATAAGATGTTATACATTATAAATGTATTGGCCATATTTCTAATTCCTTGTCATTATCAGCCCATATGAATTAGCCCATTATTGGTAAAATGTGTTTGGCTTACAAACTAGAAAGCCCTATGGGATTCTTAATCTAAAAAGAATAGGAAAGTGAGACCCTATATAATAATGTACAAATTTACGACCCTTTACATTGGTATGTGTAATACTTGGGCCAAATGAATTTGCATTATCTCACACGAGTCCAACTGAGTTTGCAATCAAAATGTTTTGGCAAAAGCTTGTAATCACTAGACGTTTCTTAACCAAAATGCTTTTGCTTAATCACCTTTAGAGTTGAAGCCTTGTTGCTCTGTTCATTTAGTTTCCATCTATTCATTGCAATCCTTCTTAACGTAATCACCTTTGTAACATTCCAACAAAGTTTGGATGTTGCCCTGTAATTGATAGCTTAAAAGCCTTCAAACTGGTTAAGTTACCTAATTTGTTCCTTAAACAAATACAATAATGAGTTTCATTCAGATTGTAACCAAATAACCTAAAGCATAGTGTTTTCAAATTGCTCTCAACTTCCGTCAACCTTGTTTTAATTTAATAAGGATAGAAGAAAAAGGGAATGAAGATTATAGGTGGAGCAGAACTTGAGTATTTAATAGGCAAGTTCAAGTTTCAAATTTCCCAGATTCGTTACTAAATAAGATTGGCAAAAATGACTGACTTAATAAGTAATTTATCAAATTTAACCTGTAATTCTTACAGACTCTTTAAGGCCACCTAAAAATTTAATCTGTAATTCTGACAGAGTCTTTAAGGCCACCTAAAAATTTAACCTGTAATTTTTACAAAGTCTTTACAGATTCAACAACATAAAAATATGAAATGCAAATCCAACACTTCAAAGCCATGATCATACAACAATAAAAAGTTCCAAGGTTCCAAAATACTTCCAAAGTTCCAACGAGTTCCACATGTAGTTTGCAAATAAAGTTTAAGCTAAAAGCTCAAACGTGTCCAAAAGACCACGAAAATACTATATAAAACAACAACTATTTTTCAGTATATAAACACTACAGATCAGGTTGCTGGACTTTGAGATGCACTTTCTCGAGGACTCTGGTGAATACCCGCACCAACGTTAACTTTCATCAACATAATTATTCCACAATGGTTTCAACAGGATTAGGGCTGTCAGCAATCTGTGATTTGGAATTGAAAAAAATCAAAACAGAATAGAAAACTGGTTCCAATCTGTTAACTAGACAACCTTAATAAACACATTTCCATACCATGTGAGGTTCAAGAGAAGATTTATGTGAACAACATGCACAATAGCAAACACTAAAACAAGTGACCAACTGAAGTTCAAGGCATGCAGCAGCAACTAATTGAATATCCCACAGCATAATTAAAGGCTTTAGTATTCACCTAAGCAGAAGCTATGAATTACTTCAAAAGGATAAGAACCTAGATTAATCGTAACATAACATAAATCTGGTGCTAGAAATCAGAACAGTACAGACATGAACATATGAATTAATTCACATAAACACTCATGAACGTCAGATAAACAGAATTAAACTGAAAATATCATATGAAAATCTCGTACACAAATCGCATAATAACAAATGAAATTAGATCAGATGAAGAACTTAAATCGCAAACAAGTAAACGTATAATAACAAACAGAATTTTGAGATGAAAATGGAGAATTTAAACGCATAAATACAAAGCAAAATTAAGTAAAGTGTATAAATTAGAAAGTATGTTACCTTTTAAAATGTTAAGATGGATATTAACGAGAAGATTAGGGTGCAATAGGGCTTTTTGATGACAAAAAAAATGGAAACAAGAGGAGAAGAGGGAGGAAATAGGAAAGGTTGGAAAGAGAGAGGAGATAGAATGAGAATGAGGGGGAAGCGGGGTAAATGAGAGAAAGATTAGGGGTGTAAAATTAGGGTTATTTGTGAATTGATGATTTGGGCTTGGACAATATTTAAAAAAATTAGAGTTTGTAAAATTATGGCTGATTTAAGAGATTGGATTTGGGTGGACCAGACCTGAAACAGACCCAATTACTAAAAAGGGTTTAGGCGGGTTTGTTTTAGATTAGGACTTTCAACCCATCCCATTTGACTTCAGGTCGGGTTACGGTTGACCCAATTACATAAACGGGTTTTAAATCCTTCTCAAAACCCATATATTTAGGGTTGGTTTCGGGTTGTCCCAATTACGTAAACAGTTAAAAGTTTATACAAGTATATTAATTACATTTGATTAATACATGGTTTATTTTGCCGCGTAATACAAATTATTTGGAAAATAAGGGTTCCTTGGTGAAGTGAGTTGTGTGAAAGGACGTGACTTGTTTCAACTAATTAATGGTATTTGGAGAGACATGGAAGTGAATGGTCTGCTTTTGCTTCTTATATACCCTAAGCAATTCGATCTTTTTCTAGCAATCATTATTACTCTGTTCAAGTAATTTAGTTTAGGAAAAGAAAAAAAAAACAATTCGTTTTCCTGTTTCTTGCAATTGGTAAAGATGGTTGGAAACAATGGCGAACCTTTAAGTGCGCAATGATACCAAAGGTGGTTGGAATTGAGGAAGGAGAATGTGGAAGGGAAACTATCTGCTATTCTTGGATTGAGAGTAGAGGCTATACATAAGGTTGGTGAATTGGTTTAGGAGCTTGAAGATTTAAACAAAAGGCTTGCAGAAGTTGATAAGCATGAGGAAAAGTATGAAAAACATAAACAATAAAGAATTGATAGTGATGTTCAATGGGTGATTGAGATTGACAGTGATAGTGACGAAGATTATACTGCAACGAGCAAGAAGCATTTTGTTGTCGGTGAATCATCAAAAGCGCAGGGGGAGGCTCATAGTGGGAGTGAAATTGCGGCGGGTGAAGTTGAAGGCGGCGAGGCTGATATAGAGATTAGTGAGGATGAAAAAGAAGTGAAGGAGGCTCCTATTCCGATCAATCTGATGCAGGGGAATGCGGAAGCTGCTAGTGATGTGGAAGAACAAGAGGAGGAAGATGATGAAGAGCAGGGAGTGCAGGATGATGAATTGGACCCATGGGATGTTAGCTCCAAAGAGGATGTCAGGGTTTCATGGAATCAACGGTTGTCTGAAAAGTCCGATGGAGACTCTGATTAGTTAAACAGTCTATTTTATATAATGTTCAAGCTTCTTTGGTTATTGTTAAATAATTGTAGATGGGGACTTTACCACAAGGATGATTTTTAATTTATATTTTAAATTACATTTTACTATTGACTATAGCGTATTGCAAATCATTGATTTTTCTAATTAGAGCATGTGTTATGTGGCGGAGTCGGATAATTCGTCAGACTCGAATTTTTTATAGGATCTGACTTCGACCCATTTCTGACTCGAAGTCAAATTAATTTAACAGAGTCGAATTCTTTCTACTTTCTTCTCATACTCCGAGAGGATTTTTTTACCTCAAATCAGGGCGGAGTAGGATCGAATCCGGAGTGGATTGCTGTCTCTAAGAGCTATTGTCACAGTGAAGAAAGAAACAAACATGCAAATTTAGAAATAAGTGGTGTTATCTTTCGTAATTTTATTTAAATACACGGGTTCGTTCTTAAACTTGGATAAACAGACCACTTGACATGGTCTCTATTCAAATGGTCCCTCATTTGTTATAATAAACTAATTCTAGACCCAGCATCCATATAACCTTGGATCTGCCACCAACATATTACTACACAATATAGTATAAGAAGAATCCAATTCGATCACATACAAAGTGATAGATAAAATTTGCATTCAAAAAAAAAAAGAGAGATAAAATACAGATTAAAGACTATTACTCCATAATACTACACCAAAAAACATGAGAGCCTTTGACAATTCTTGTTTACCACCAAAAAAAAACATCACAAACAACTTAATCAGACGAAAAAGGATGATCCATCACATTCTATCCTAACATAGATGAGTGAAATTACTAAAATCATTCACGCCAAACTCATCACCGAAATCAGAGCTTGTAGACGAATGGCTTGTCAACTTCTTCTTCATCATCTCCTTCACCTTCGAAATAAGGGACATTTTCATTCCCCTCACCATCCTGGGGACCGTCATTAATTATTGCAGCCTCCACCACTTCTTATTCCTGGTTCGCATCGTCGTCATCATTCCCCTGTTCTTCATCTTCTTCTACTTTTGCATCTGCTTGGCCTTCATCTGCATCAACAGGATTTTCCTGCACTTGGTGCATCGTAGCATGATCTTCTTCCTCGTTAATCCTCATATTGCAGTCTCCAGCCTCATGTTCACCCACCTCGGCTACGCTTACATTACAACCCTCACCCTTAATGTGTGATGACTCACCCACAAACCGCCTCTTCGCCGGAGGAATTTTATCATCGCTACCGCTATCAATGTCGATTACACCGTCGCCCATACCATCACCGTCAATAGGTTTCCCTCCCTCCTGTCTTTAATAGGATAGCTGGGAATGCTTAACTGCCTTTTAATGGACTCAAGTTCCTTCAATAGAGCATCGACCTTCCAAATTATGTGAGCCTGAACTTCGACAAGTGCCTCTAATTGGCCGTCGATTTTATCCCTCCGTTGTTCGAGAATCCGACGGAGGACTTCAGGGATTGGAGGACCGCCAATATTTTCGGCCATGACCAACTATTACAATTGATTATAAAAAAAACATTTTGCTTTGTTTTGACAAATGGAAACAATAGACAACGATAAGAATTTGGGAGATAACTGATGGAATACTGTGCTTTTTAATGGATTTTTACCAACCCACGCAACCTTTAACTTCCAATTATATCAACAAAATAAAAAAAAATAAAAAAAACCACCTCCTCATTTAAAAAAAAAAGAAAAAAAATTGGGGGGGTGGGGGGGCACCAGGGAGGTAAGAATCAAACCCTGGGTTGTTATTATTGGAGGTATGTTGAGAGTTGTAAAAAATGTAAACCATTGGGACAGTACTACCACTGTGTGATATTTGCTAAAAGAAAAATATATATAGTTGTTTTTAGTACTGTCAAAAACCGAACCGAACCGGGGAAACCGAACCGATTCAAACCGATCCGAATGAGAACCGAACCGTTTAGAAACCGCTTTTTTTAAACCGAAAACCGACCCGAACCGCATTTTAGTGAACCCGAAACCGAACCGATTCGAGTAACGTTAAACCGTTTAAGAACCGAACCAAAATCTAAACCGAACTGAAAGGAAACCGAACCGAAAATGAACCGAACCGTTTCTAACCCGAAACCGTTTGAACTGCCATAAAAACCGTTATAAACCGAACCGTTTATAAACCGAACCGTTTATAAACCGAACTGATTATAAACCGAACTGTTTATAAACCGAACCGTTTATAAACCGAACTGATTATTAACCGAACCGTTTATAAACCGAACCGCTTATAAACCAAAATGTTTATGAACCGAATCGCTTATAAATCAAACCAAAACTAAACCAGCTAATCTGAACCAAATTAGTGTTGACTATTTCACACTAAAATTTCCAACCAATCATACTATTTAGTAGTGATACACTACCAGATTTATAAATTACTAAAATTAGTAGTAGTTGCTTTATCTAATTTACTTCAATAAGTCAAAACAATGGATTAAAATGACAAGATTCTCTTTCTATTGGAAACAAACCAACTTGCATTAAACTATAATTAGCACACAAAAATTCTTTAGTGTTTATACCTGATCATAACATTAGAATGATATTTTAAACTGAAATAGTGTAATGATTTATTGGGTTCCCTACCATACAAAAATTCTAATGCTTTTATAACCACAAGATTTGTCTCCCACTGTCCCTTAGATATTCATAATAGAGGGTGATTAGTATATGCCATCCTGGTCTATAGTTCAGGAATTATATGAACAACAAAAAACAAAAACAAAACAATTAAGTGAAAATTACCTGGAGCTGTGACGGCTTGAAGGAGAAGAAGAATTGAAGATGGAGAACTGGAGATCGAACAAAAAAAACGACAATAGAGAACTCGAGATCGAAAATAAACCGAAATAAAAAAAAAAAAATTAACTGAAAAATTACCTTGAGCTGTGACGGCTTGAAGGAGAAGAAGAATTGAAGATGGAGAACTGGAAATCGAAAAAAAACTAATTACATTTGGAGAAATTGAGATCGAACAAAAAACCGAAATAAAAACAAAAAAAAATTAAGTGAAAATTACCTGGAGCTGTGACGGCTTGAAGGAGAAGAAGAATTGAAGATGGAGAACTGGAGATCGAACAAAAAAAACGACAATGGAGAACTCGAGATCGAAAAAAAAACCGAAATAAAAAAAAAAATTAACTGAAAATTACCTTGAGCTGTGACGGCTTGAAGGAGAGGAAGAATTGAAGATGGAGAACTGGAGAACTTCAGAGTGAGTAAGGATTCAGCGCTTGAGGATGAAGAAGAAGAACCGAAGAATCAGTGTTTGATGTGGAGCAAAACGGCGAATTGAAGATGATGAATGAAGAGGAGATGACCTAACCAGGCTAATTCAATTCACGTTTCACCACTGTTTTTTTTTTTTTTTTTTTTTTTTTTTCCTCTTTTGCAATATATTATTTAATTATTTAACAACCAAAATATCTAAATTCTAAATTTAAAATTTGTTTTTCCTTTTAGTTTTGGAGGGAAATTTCCCACCTTTCATATTTTGATGAAATTGTCAACCAAAAAAATGAAATCAATTTTCCACTTTGTAAAAATCAAAATTTTTAATTTTATTTTAATAACATTAAACGAAATTTTATACAATTAATTAATTACATGGCTTCAAAAAAAAACTAATTACATTTCTCGAATCCCGATAAAACGAAATATGCCTTCATAATATCAGCTTTTATAATTTTTTTTAACACACACATTAAAATATTAAGTTCTTTAAATTATAAAATGTGAATCGGTTAGCGTGTAAATGTCTAGCGTTGCGATTAATAAAAAATCGAACACTGTTTAATAATATAATG